CCCCCCCCCACCCGGACTCCATCTCCACGTAGGCCTTCTCTAGCAGAGCCCCTGCCACGTGTGCCCAACAAATAAGGACATTCTGGGAGGTAAAGCCAGTGCCCGTGGCAACAGCCTTAGAAGCCCAGGAAGCAGCTCTTATCACAGGGCCTGGCTGATGACAAGAGGGAGCCAAACCAATCAAGTGGAAAGTTATTTCCTTCCAAATAAGAAAAAACTGTCACCAGAAGGCTTGCAATCTCTACAGACAGATGTCTTGCATAGCTCCTTCTTTATTTTTCCCGTCTGCATCTTCTACGGAACGGAAGGCAGTACGGCCCCAGTTCCCTTCCAGAGTGGCAGAGGGCACGGGCTTTGCCATCTGACACGGTCCCAGTGCCTAACTCGGTTCCCAGCACACAGAGGGCCCTGAGCGTATCTTTCTGAGCGACGATTACATGAATTAACTACATTTTAAATCACTGGAACCTGAAAACGTCATCATTGTAAAAGCCGTAGGAGAGGGCCTGACGGATTCCCAGGAAAGCCCGCACCTCGGCTCGCGGTCGGATGACTTAGCTGAGCCGTCGTGGCCATCTAGTGGCCGAATGCCTACATCGCCGGCCCAGGGGGTTACTGGGGGCTGCACTTTGGAGATAAAGCGCAGAACTGAAGTTAGGAAGTGACAGCACGCATACCACAGCATAAGAGAGACTTCGAAGAGGGAATGGCGCGAGGAACCTAGGGCAGGGCCTTAAGGCCTCGGGAGAGCGGGGCGCAGGGAGCGGCACGGAAGACGACCGAGCACAGGGAAAGGGGTGGGACTGGGTCCCGTACTTGTCAAAGTTGACATCCAGCATGCCCGCCTTCTCCTGGCTGACCCGTAACAACGGTGTGTCCAGCCGCCGAATACAGTCCTTGTCCAGTGTTGACGTCCAGTCTTGGAAAGTCTTTCGAACCAATTCATCGATGGCCTGGACCATCTGCTGGTAGGCGTGCACACTCTCCTCTCCGGTCCCGATGTGGGGCAGGAAGTGGGCACTAGAGAGACACTAAGGGGGGGTGGGGACAACGGGTGGCTGGAGCCCGCTGGCCACCGTCCTCCGAGGCACCGTCTCCCCGCCCGCGGGCCCACACGGGGTGCGGCCTGCAGCGGAGGCCGGCCCCGACCACCCGGCGGGGGAGGTGGGCCACACGCACAGGTGACAGGAGGCGGCCAGGGAGTTAGCAGCGCGCAGGGGAAGCACGGAAACTCGGGTCAGGAGAAGTTGGCAAAAAAAGTAAATCACGGGAGGTGAGGACGGAAGAGGTACGACGTTGAAAACCAGTACGGGCCCTTCCTCCCCAAGTCCCAGCTCAGCGACCGTGAAGCGGCCTCTGCTGTCCGCAGGCCGCCTGGTTCTCACCAGAACCAATCACATGATGGCAGATACCTCAAGAGCGTTAGACCTATGTGCCCAAAACTGCCCTTTAGAGGTTGTTGGGTTTTTTTCCGATTCTTCATGCCTGCTGTTCTAGACCAGGCCCTTCAAGGGCCACAGCTGCCCAAGGTCGTATTCCTTCTCTGACGGCCCAGCTTCCCAGATGCTGGGCCGGCTCCTCCTCTCCAGCTTGACAGGAAAATCCTAGCGGGACTCACGTTCCACCCACCACGCCCGCCGTCGCTGTGAATCCAAGCTCCGGCCTCGTCCTGTCCAGGCCCCGCACCTGCCAGTCCCCTGGCCCACCTCGGCCTCCCACCGTGGAGACGCTCTGGGGAAACTCCCGGGGCGGGTCCCCGGCCAGCACGGGGCACAGTCCCCAACCTCCACCGCCTCACGAGAACGAGTCTGGGGAGAGGCCAGGCACTCACGTTCATGACTCTGTCGATGCGCCGCCGCAGAATCCGCACCCAGTGCGCCTGTCCCGAGAACTGGGCCACGTAGGGCTCCAGGTACGGCCATTTCTTGTTCAGCTCCCGGTTCACGAGGGCCAGCTCGCCATTGAACAGCATGTACAGGTCCACCGCCTTCTTGTCGTAGGTGCGCTTGATGGCCTAAGGAAGAAGGGAGAGAGCCTGAACCCGCGCCCCGGCGGATCCAGGGTCCCCCCCAGGGACTCAAGCTGGAGGACACCTTCTCCCGGGGCCATCTGGAAACTCGGGGAGCAGACGGAAGAAGAGGCTCTGGCGGTGGAGGGCAGGGGGGACGTGGGAGGGCACGACTGGAGGTGGCACGGAGTCGGGAAGGATCAGGAAGAACTGAAGGAGGCAGAGGAGAGGCCAGGCGGGGCGGG